ATGCCACGGCACTCTACCCAGGGGGACAGCTTGAGGCTCTGTCTCAAAAAAAAAAAAAAAAAAGAAAATACAATTTAAACATTTCAACAAAGTAGTTTCTTCTTGAGGGAAGAAGCTGGCAGGTCAGATTCAGAAGGAATTAATAGGTAGCTTCCACTGTGCTGCGGATGTCCTTGTTCTTACATTAGTTAGCAAATCTCATGGGTATTTATTATTATGCTTAGCGTCTACATTATAAATATGATTTTATGTATCAAATATTATACATACTATTTTCATTCAATAAAATTATAGACATCCATATTATGGTACAGCTCAAAGAGAAAAGGAAAGGAAGAGTCATCCTTTAAAAGCTCTTCTTAATAATTTGACTAATGAAATTAATAGACGTACTTTGATTTATAAATCCAAAATATCCTGAAATGCTTCACGCATGTAAACGCCACGTACGAAGATAATTCGTGCCACAGAGTAACATTTCACGCCATTTTGGAATATCAACATGCTTGTTGAATAGCCATTTAGTTTCAATAACACAATTATTCACATGAAATGTTTAGATATAAGATTTTCTTACTGTATCCAAAGAAAGTAAATCATCTTTGCTCCCACCAAATACCATTATTTCATTTTCTTTTCCCAAACAGGCTGTGTGCCATAACCTATAATCGAAAATTATAAACAGAGTGAAATACTATCAAGGAAGAAACTGTATGTTATATGCACATCAATTCTAAATTGCACTTTAAAATTTAATCAATTTCTAAAGAGGCGTGATTGAACTTAAACCTCATATCCTCAAAGGGGTTAGATTGTAAAGACTCCTCTAGAATTGATTAAATCATATCATTTCAATTAAAATGACTCTTAATAATTCTTTCTGTTACATCCCACAACCTTTTTCTAACCCCTTTATCTCATACCTATTATCCCTGGAATGAAAAAATTAAAATGCAACTGATTGCCTCCCTGCTGAAACAGACACCTTTCCCAGTTTTCTGCTACGATCTCCCATGTTCCTGTTCTCGTTGTTTTGGCCTCTTTCTTCCCTGCTCTGTTCCCTGTTACCCGACAAACCCAGTTCGGTCCTCCCTTCCCATTTCTGTGGTCACATCACTCTTCACTCTGGGGAGATGATCCAGAGTATGTCCCCAGTTCTTCTGTCTCTAGTGTCTCCCAACTACACACAACTAATATTTTCCAAATACTATTATTTATTTATTTGAGACAGAGCCTCAACCTGTCACCCCAGGTAGAGTGCTGTGGCATCACAGCTCACAGCAACCTCCAACTCCAAGGCTCAAGCAAGTCTCCTGCCTCAGCCTCCCAAGTAGCTGGGACCACAGGCGCCCGGCACAACGCCTGGCAATTTTTTTTTTTTCCGGTTGCAGCCGTCATTGTTGTTTGGCAGGCCCAGGCTGGATTCAAACCTGCCACCTCAGGTGTACGTGGCTGGCGCCTTAGCCGCTTGAGCCACAGGTGCCGAGCCCCAAATAATATTTTTAATCATGGTAATTTTCTTATTAGCATCTGTGCTACCAGTAGCTGTTGTTCCCACCCAAAGAAGTCCTCTACTTAAACTAAGTTCATTTCTTTGCTTCTCCCAAGAGAAAATCTTATATCTACTTATAGGCCAGTGGTTCTCAACCTTCTTAATGCCGCAACCCTTTAATACAGTCCAAAGGGGTCGCGACCTACAGGTTGAGAATTGCTGCTCTAGGCTTTTGTTCACTGTTTCTTGTGCTTCGAATAATAAATCATTCTCTCGGGGACTTAAAAATGGCTCAAAATTCCAAATACCCACCCAAACTGGTTTTGTTACCACCTCTGTTCAGCTCCCTTCAACATTTATGTGTTCATTTTATACTTTCCTAACTTATATTTGGAAATAAGCTGTTTTGTCTAGTACTTTAACTGTGTGATGTGTCTTCTAGCTATCTAAGACTAGGAGGTGCCTGTGGCCAGGAACTGCCACAGTGGTATGCTGGGCCAGCCGCTGGCTGCTCCAAGTCTGCCGTACGTCTCGCCATGTTCAGTGACATTGTGGCCATAGCTTGATATTGGGAGTATTTACAACTTGGAGATCAGCAATGGCTATGAATTAAAGTTTTCTTTCTCCCCTCTGGAGAGGGCTGCTAACTGATTGCCAGGACACCACCAGACCTTGGAGAACCTAAGTTTATGCTTCTCCTTTATAGGGCATTTTACACCTTGTATGTGCTCAAAAGCTTTTGACTAACAAAAGCAAAGCCACACACACACACACACACACACAAAAACTACCAACATAATTTAATCAATGGTTAAACATACAAATTATTTAATAAAGGAAGAGAGCATCTAATGTTCTTTTGTAAATGGTCTGATAGGTCATCTTTCCCTCCAATTTCACATTCTCTACAAATAATGAGTTTTTTAAAATCTCAGATTGATATCAGAGTACAAACAATTAAGTCACACTGTTTGCATTTGTTAGATGTAGTTGTCAAGCTGTAGTTGAGCCCTTCACCTAGGAAGTGTGATGTACACCCTTACATTGTGCCTGGCAGGTGGTAGCTCACCATGCCCCCTCCCTTCCCCCTCTCCCCACTCACTCCCCCACATTTGAATGCAGTTGTGTTTTTCTCTCATGTGGGAGTGTAGTTGTTCATCTGCTGGTTTCAATAATTTTAGGGTTCTATTAAGTTCAATATTTCCAGAGACTCTTAACTCTCAAAAAACGTTCATGTAAATTTCTCCATTTTAGAGTATAAGTTAAGGATTTTACAAAGTTGTTGCTTTGACTGTGAGATTACTTTTATTTTGAGACAGCCTCTCACTTTGTCACCCTCAGTAGAGTACCGTGGCATCATAGCTCACAGCAACCTCAAACTCTTGGGCTCAAGTGATTCTCTTGCCTCAGCCTCCCCGGTAGCTGAGACTATAGGCACCCACCACAACACTGGCTATTTTTAGCAATAGAGGTCTTGCTCTTGCTCAGGCTGGTCTCAAACTTGTGAGCTCAGGTGATATGCCTGCCTCAGCCTCCCAGAGTGCTGGTATTATAGGCATGAGCCACTGGCTGATTACTTTTCTTAATATACCAAATTGCTAAAGCAATAGATGCCCAAAATAATTACACATCATTACCTATATTATTAGCACATAACTTATGTTTAGAACATTTATCCCTTTTACTTAAGTTCTATAAGCATAAGCAGTGGCATTATGTACAATTTGTTAAACCAAATACTTTCCCCCAATCATGCATACATTCAACAACAAATTCACTCATGACCCAGAGTAGAACTGAGCCATTTAGAGATGTTGTTTGTGAAATACTGTGCCCAATTCTCCATCTTAGATGGTAAGACATAAATTGATGTAAATCTTCAGCAAGAACCCAGATTAGATTGTGGGGTTGGGAATAGGAACTGGAAAAAGGCCTGGGTACAGGAGACGTAATGCAGTGAATGCCCTTCTGTATGGGAAGGAATAGATTAATCTGCTGGAGAGGAGGTTATGTGTAACCTTGGCAATAGCCTTGGACTCCAAGCAAAACTGAAGGGTCTATATGCCAACATTTTATCCAATGTCTTTTACAGATACACAAAGAGTCCTTGCTGATAGCCACAGAGATAGATGACTTTTCAACCAAGCACAGCACTAGCGAAGGTGAGACCTGGAGAAGAGTTACTCTGTGAAACAATGGTTCTCAGCCAGGGGCGGTCTGTCTCCCAAGGAAACACCTGACAGCATGAGGAGGCATTTTTGGTTGTCACAACTTGGGGAAGGGGAAGGTGGTACTGGGAGCGCCTATCAGGTAAAGGCCGGGATGCTGTAACATCCTACAATGCACAGGACACTCTAATGACAAAGAATTTTTTGGTCCAGAATGTCAATAGTGCTGAGGTTGAGAAATGTAGAGTTCTAAGAGGAGAATTGGGCAGCTTACATTTCAAAATATAATTTGGAAAAGTTTGCACAAAATGCTTATAGGCGTTCAGTAACTGTCACTTTCATAACATTAGCACACATATACACATATAGATGTTCTCCTTACCCTCACTGTACCCCACTTGTTCTCCTCCTCACCTCATACCTGGAGATAGATCTGCCTCTGTCTTATCTGCCTTAGGGAAACTCTGGCCTGGATTTCATCCTCGAAGAACACTGGCAAGCCTTTCCTGCCTGGACTTTGGTGACATCTAGCTTGCAACCTGATGTCTGTTCTACAGACTGATAGTTTATGTCCTTTCACAGCTGCTCTAAACTTATCACCTAAACATTCTAATAAAGCATATTATTTACATGACACATCAGCTGAATTAAAAGAAATCTCTTTACATAGCTCTAGTTCTAACTAGTATATTGATAATAGTTGTGTTTCTAATTACTTATTAAGGATTAGAATATAAAATAGGAGCAATTTAAAAATTAAACATATTTTTACTACTACTTTGTCTATAATGAATGAATTTATACAATTAAACAACTGGAAGATACTTAAGAGATGATCTAGTCCAACTCTTTCATTTCACAGATGAAGAAATGATCGCTCAGTTCCTTTAAGTGACTTTTTAAAGCCAAGAAACAAAGTAGTAGCTGAGCAAGGGCTAGAACACTGGCTCCCATATCTTAATATAAAATTCCTTAAGTTAAATAAAAAATTTCAAAATTTAAGGAAAAAATTTCATAATAACCAGAATTGTTAAAATAATAAATTCCAACGAAGTTTTATACATGAAGATATAATAATCACATATGTAATTACGATAAACTCCAAATGTATTTGAATATTAATATAGACATAAATATTTTCAGGCCTTTTTCTCAAGTAAATTACTTGTCATTTATTACGTAACAAAATACACATCATATTTATACTGGCCGCTTAAATAATCTGTAGTAAAAAAAATCTAAGATACATGACATGAAAAGGAACGAAATCTATTTCTGACTGTAATGATTATACTGTAAAGAATCTAAAATTCCTATGAAGATATTCTATTATACTATTCAATCAAATTTAAAAAATAAGAACTATAGTACTAATGTGACTTTCTTGGTAGTCTAATAGTATATTGTTTCTATAATTTTTTATCCTATAGTATACTGTAAAAACTAATACATTTTCTTTTTTAAAAAATTCACATTAATTAATACATCATACAATTTTTTTTTTTTTTGAGACAGAGTCCTGCTCTTTTGCCCAGGCTAGAGTACTATGGCATCATCGCACACAGCAATCTCAAACACCTGTGCTCAAGCAAGCCTCCTGCCTCAGCCTCCCAAGTAGCTGGGACTACAGGCATGTGCTACCATGCCCAGCTAATTTTTGTATTTTTGTAGAGATGGGGTCTCCTCTTGCTCAAGCTGGTCTCGAATACCTAGCCTCAAGCAATCCTCCTGTCTTGGTCTCTCAGAGTGCTGGGATTACAGGCATGAGCCTCCACGCCTGGCCATATCATATAATTAATAAAGAAAGATAATAAGTTCAAATCTACTGGATCAACATAAAATCAAATTTCCTCATTAAATGACTTTAAACTTCTTCTAAAAACAAATTACTATTAAAAACAACCCCATTCTCATCTACTTGTTAAAAATATTAACATTTTAAAGATTAACATTATATGACTTTAAATTATCTTAGTCTTCATGTTTATTAGACAAGATTATGCATTTACCTAACATTTTCAAATATGCAAATATGAGTTAAAATACATAGATAATTTATAACAATTTGATAAAGTAAAATGATAATTCTATTATTTAGCTAACTTTAAGCTTATTTGAAAGGTAGCTTTCCTGAGGGTTTATGGCTTCAAAGGCAAACATTGCAAGTTCAGTACTATATCTTAATACGTTAAACATTCTTAACTATTTTACTATTTATCAACTTCTAGACTTACCTAGGTCTTGTTTTTGGTAAATGTGTAAGTTGCTTCCAACAATTTGTTATGACATTGTGAATCCAACCATCACCTGCAATATTACGACAGTTCAGAAATTAAGATGAGGTTTTTGAGATGTTTAAATTTATCCCCTCCATCATGCTACATTTAAATGACTATGTTTTCTGTGTGTGCATATTTTATTTTTTCTTTCTTTCTTTTTTTTTTTAGAGACAGAGTCTCAGTTTATCGCCCTGGCATCACAGCTCACAGCAACCTCCAACTCCTGGGCTTAGGCAATTCCGTTGCCTCAGCCTCCCGAGTAGCTGGGACTATAGGTGCCCGCCACAACGCCCACTATTTTTTTGTTGCAGTTTGACCAGGGCAGGGTTCGGGTAGGTGCCCTATACTCACTGAGCCACAGGCACTGCCCAGTGTGTGCATATTTTATTATAAGATTTTCAAACACACACAGAAGTAGAGTGACCATGACAATGAACCTCCACATTTCTCAGATTCAACAACTATCAAGATTTTCCCATGTGCTCCATTTATCTTTTGGTCCTCTTTATAGCTGAAGCTTTTAAATCCAAGATCTCCTATCATTTTCCCCATACATACTTCAGTATGCCTTAGTTAAAAAAAAATAATAAAATAGGTATTTTTCACGTAACCACAATGTCATTATCACTGTCAACATAACTAAAAATAATTTCTTGGGATCATCTAATACCCCCACGACCAAATCTTACACTGAATCTATGAGAGAGGAAATGGACTAAACTAAGAGCATGTTTAATATCCCACAGGTTAATAACCAAAAATAGCAACCAGGAATTAAAAACACCAGAGTTGTGAAGAGATGATATTAAACAACCCCTAGCAAAATGTTCAGATGTCTTTTTTTATACTCCAAATCTCCTTTAACTGAAAGTCTCACGAGTGGAAGAGGTCTAATGATAGTCTGCAAGAGCAACTAACATCCCCCTGCGAGGAAACGCTTTTTCTCCATCCAGCTCCGGAGTGTGTGGTGGCCGGCAGACTGTTAATAAATGCGTAGTTGATACTCAATCAGCTTTTGTTAAACACTTGCTTCCAGACCCCAGCTACAGTTATAGGAATGGTTTTAATGGTATCTAAGGGTTTTTAATGAAAACATGTCGCCAAACTAAGAAGGGAATGTCCTTGGTCGTTTATCTAACCTGACACCATGATTGTACTGCTTAAAGAAAAACTGCATTCTAAAACCCATAGCCATCAAGACCGGGAGTGACAGGAGTCTTAAAAAAATCCAGCCAAGAGCTTCTCTTTATTATAGTTCTGGTGCAAAAAGAGAAGCGACTTGCCATCCCATCTTGTATTTCCAGAGCCTTCCATAAAGCCTGCTGTTGTGATCACTATCTCAGCCCACAGTACAAGCATCTTGGATCTCAAGTCAGGCTGAAAACCACAGAGCAGAGGAGTGGAAAGGGGCTTTATTTTACCCAGGGTCAATCGCCTTTCCTCTTCCCAACAGGAGAACATGTAGAGCCAAGGGGACAAAAGCACAGAGATCTCCTAATTCTTAATCTGGACACAGCTGGGGATTAAGGTAGACCAGTAAAACAGGAAGATTTACTTCACCATAAGGATGAAATACAATTAGGAAAAAAGAAGGAGATGATAATTGTAGAGAACATTTTAATCAACTTACTTAAGGGAATATTATCTGCACTTAGTCCACCAAATAGGAAAAGCTTATCATCAGCTATTGGGGTTAAAGTGTGCCATGACCGGTGCTTCGGGCTTTCTCCATTAATAGGAATCCTGCGGCAAGGAGGAAAAAAAATTAAAATCTAGGTACTGTGTTAGTCAAACAGAAGGTCTTCAGTCATCTCAGATCTTAAAGAAAAAACTGCCTTCACTACTCAAAAACAAAACAAAGCAAAACACAAAGGTTGATTTTACTACTTCCACCTACATGAATATTTAAAACATTCTTAAATTCTTGGGTGAATGTAAACAACCTCTTTCCATTTAACGTCTACTCCGCCTGGCCACAGAGTGAGAATACGAGTCACTTCTCAGTTAGTTCACAACACATTCTTGGCACCATTCTCATTGGCTAATCAACATCCTTCCTCGGTTTTTCAACACAATTTATTTTCACATCTAGAACCTTTTAGTGTTGTTTCACGGTTGATTCTGTGTTTGTAGGCTAATTTCCCCAGGGATGTTTTGGGCCTGGTTACTGTGTTGTTTACTTTGGTCTGCTTGTTACAGAATTTTCCAAAGTATCATCTTCCCCTGAAAACACTAGCTATTCTAAGTTTCGCGATAAATGTGTGTGCAAGCCATGTCAGACCCTAATAAACCTCTAAAGACCTTAAACAAATACTGTCTATTCTTAAAAAATAAAAACAAATAAAAACAGAACCACATGTTAAATGTGAAGAGGTTCAATTAGGAAGGTAAGAGGACGCCACTCTTTGGTAGTCTGGAAGGCTCCAGAGTAACATGGGCCATTTTTGCAAGATATAATTTATTTTTCCCAAAATGTTAATGTTTTTATGGTTTTTGTTGATCATAAGAAACACTTCGGTTACAAAACATTCAGTAACTTCAAAAATGTTGTTTTTAAAAGGACAGCTCTTCTATAGTCTTGTGCCCCAGTAATAAGAAATAGTGATAATTTGGTATCTGTCTTTTCAAACTTTAAGGCATAAATATTTGTTAAAAATATGTAAATGAGGTCTCCCATAGCTCTGTGGGTAGGGCGCTGGGCACATGCACTGGGGCTGGCAAGTTCAAACACAGCCTGGGCCTGCTAAACAACAGTAACAACTACAAGAACAAAAATTAAAAAGTGGCCGGGTGTTGTGGTGAGCACCTGTAGTCCCAAGTACTTGAGAGGCTGAGGCAGGAGAATCACTTAAGCCCAAGAGTTTGAGGTTGCTATGATCTGTGACACCATGGCATTCTACCAAGGGCAACATAGTAAGATTCTGTCTCCAAATAATAATAATAATACTAACAACAACAATATTGCAATAAATATATACTTGTCCAATTATTGTCTTCAGAGAAATTCTGTATCAAAGTGGAAATCCCATTTTCTATTTTAAACACACTGTCAGACTGCCTTCCAGAAAAACTGTACTAATTTATACTCTTACCTTACCTCCTATATTGTTACAGCATCGCACACATTAGTCATCACCATATTTTTATCTGATAAGTAAAAACTTACTTTTGTTCCCAATTACTTTAATAATCTATAAGTTTGAACATCTTTTTAAAATACTTTTTGCTTATTATTATTATATTTCTTATATGACATGTTCATCCATGTTCTTTGTCCACTTTTCTATTAGATTATTTATCTTTCTTTTACTGATGTTCTGAGTTTTATAGATCTTTGCCTTGATTTCTCTCTCTTAAAAATATTACAAATATCTCTTCTAGTTTGTTTTTTGTTTGTACTTTACAATTTTCCCTTTAACTTTTTTTGGTTCACTATTCTACACAGAAACATCTAAATTTTAAGTGGTCTTATTAATCTAATCCGTCTTTTCACTTACGCATTTTGAGTTTATATCATCTTTATAAAACCTTTTTCCATGGCAAGATTTTAAAAATAATCTGCTGTATTTTCCTCTGGTACTTTCACAGTTTTATTTTTATTTTCACAGTTTTATTTTTTATTTTATTTATTTATTTTTTTT